ATATACATATACATATACATATACATATACATATACATATACATATACATATACATATACATATACATATACATATACATATACATATACATAGTTGATTATAAGGGTTCTGTTTGTTGATTATATCTATGCAGTTTGATTAGTCGTGAAATTATATATACCATTGACAAGTCTAAGGTATTAAGAAAATTAATACAACTTTGAGTCGAAAGTAGTTAACATCACACCAGAACCTGTTGCTTGCTAGGCCTATATATATTTGCTTCATTTCAGTTGATATCAAATTATAGATTCAATCAATAGCATATCAACCAACCTAGCTTCAATTAAGCTTTTGAGATGTCAACTTCCTCGGTTTCTATTTCTTTGTCATCGTTGGTAATTGATGAAAATAATAGCACCAAGCAAGATCACGTGATCCGTAATACGGTCACTTTTCATCCTAGCATTTGGGGGGATCAGTTTCTTGTATATGATGAGGTTTAAATATTTCTATATATCACGTATTTACTACTTAATCATCCATTATCATATATATATATATATATATATCCATTAACTTGGAATAAAAATACCATTAATTTGCTAATTATGCTTTCAGAAAGATGATTTAGTTGCGGAGAAACAACTTGTTGAAGAGCTCACAGAAGAAATAAGAAAAAAGCTATTCATCACAGCTTCTAGTATTCATGAACCCCTGCAACAAATACAGCTCATTGATGCAATCCAACGCCTTGGTGTAGCCTATCATTTTGAAAAGGAGATTGAGGAAGCCTTGCAACATGTCTATCGTACATATGGCCATCAGGGGATCCACAATAATAACAACCTACAAAGTGTTTCTCTTTGGTTCCGAATCCTCAGACAACAAGGATTCAATGTTTCACCGGGTAATTATATATTTAATAATTAATTACAAGCTCCCTTATGCATGTGCATGTAACAGTTTCTTCACAAATTAAAGTCTCTTTTAATTACTTTATTGCATTATAGTATTAAATGCTATCTTTTGGTTTGACAGAAATATTCAAGAACCATATGGATGAGAAGGGGAACTTGTTAAGTAATGATGTTGAAAGCATGCTTGCTTTGTACGAAGCATCGTATATGAGGGTGGAAGGTGAAAAAGTACTGGATGACGCTCTCAAATTCACTAAAACTCACCTTGCCATCATTGCCCAGCATCCTTCTTGCGACTCTTCTTTAAGAACCCAAATACAAGAAGCACTAAGGCAGCCACTTCGGAAAAGGTTGCCAAGGCTAGAGGCGGTGCGTTACATACCTATCTATCAACAACAATCTTCCCATAATCAGCTCTTACTGAAGCTTGCAAAGTTAGATTTTAACATGCTTCAGTCAATGCATAAAAAGGAGCTTAGCCAAATATGCAAGTAAGTAGTAATCAATATAATAATTAATTAATTACTAATATATATATATATATATATATATATATATATTAATCTAGCTAGCTGATTAAGCGGACTTATGAATTCAGTCAAATTAAGACCTCTTGGCTAGCTAGCATGAATCATAAGGCCTTTGACATGGGTTTAATCTTTATTGATTTAACGATTACTCTTTTCTCTCATACGTTTAATGTGTGATCAGATGGTGGAAAGATTTGGACATGCAAAATAAGCTGCCATTTGTCCGAGACAGATTGATAGAAGGTTACTTTTGCATATTGGGAATCTATTTCGAGCCTCATCATTCTCGTTTAAGAATGTTCCTAATCAAATCGTGCATGTGGTTAATCGTTATGGATGATACATTTGATAATTATGGTACTTATGAAGAGCTTAAAATCTTTACAGAAGTTGTTGAAAGGTATTGCATTTTAATTGCTTTTATATATGCTAACTAAAACAGTACGTTCCCATTATTAATTAATCATCTGATGCTAATTAATAATATATATATATATATATATATATATATATGTAGATGGTCCATAAGCTGCTTGGATTTGCTCCCGGAATACATGAAAGTAATATATCTAGAACTTGTGAATATTCACCAAGAAATGGAGGAATCACTTGAAAAAGAGGGAAAAACATATCACATCTACTATGTTAAGGAGATGGTAATTAATTAAATTCCATACACACACACACACACACATATATATATATATATATATTATTTATTTATAAAATATTTTTCCTTAACTAATTGGCTCAATAAAAATAAAATATGCACGGTATATAGGCAAAAGAATACACTCGAAGCCTGTTAGCAGAAGCTAAATGGTTAAAAGATGGGTACATGCCGACACTAGATGAATACATCTCTAATTCATTGATAACTACTACCTATGCGGTGGTGATCGAGGGATCATATGTTGGCGGGCCCGACATGCTGGTCACGGAAGATTCCTTTAAATGGGTGGCTACACATCCTCCTCTTGTCAAGGCTTCATGTTTGATTTTAAGGCTTATGAATGATATTGCTACCCACAAGGTACTACATATATACTTAATTATCTATAGTCTTTATATTAAAAGCTATGGAATTTATATATACATATTATGTGACATACTTTATTTATATATATATATATATATATATATATATATATATATATATATATACACTTTAGGAGGAACAAGAAAGAAGTCATGTTGCTTCAAGCATCGAATGCTACATAAAGGAAACTGGTGCAACTGAGGAGGAAGCATGCGAATATTTCTCGAAACAAGTTGAAGATGCATGGAAAGTTATAAATCGAGATTCTCTTAAGCCTACGGATGTCCCATTTCCACTAGTTAAGCCTGTAATCAACCTTGCACGTATTTCTGATGTAGTTTATAAAGGCAGCATTAATGGCTACAATCATGCCGGGAAAGAACTGATACAAAACATCAAATCCCTGCTCGTTCACCCTTTAATTTAGTTACCGGTTTAAGCTTCTTCAAGTCTTGATGACATGTAATTGTTGGTGTTTTTCAAAATAAGTTGCCGTTGTGATATATAATGTTTTATAAGCTTGTTGCAACTTAATTTTGTCGAGTTATTTTGGTAGTTTGCAAGTTATATGTATGGGACACCTTATTATATATGGATTGAAATTATATGATCAATTAGTTTCAGCACATTCTTCGTAGTGTCAATGTATGATCCAAGACATATGTAAAGAAAAGGTAAAGTGCACACTTGAAAGTGCGTCAAAAGGTAGCTTTTTTATTTGAGTAAAACGTTGATTGACTGCAATTCTAACCGGCCATCTCAGAATCCATAGTCTACAAGGACATCAAAGTGGATAGACATTTTGAAATCGAACCCGTGACCTGTTTTATATCTGAACTGCATCAATGGTTGCTCCTTTTCAGTTGTTCTATATTCTGGGCCAGTGTTTGTAGCACCTGGTCACATCATCAGGAAAATTCAGAAGGAAATTTGAAGAAATCAACTTAGAGATCCATGACTTGAAAAATGCCCAGTCCAGCCCCTTAGATTAATTAACGAATTACGACAAAGTAATACTCTAAGTTCGATTGTTTGTTCGAAGTAATATATATATATATATATACTCGGTTTGTGTATATATATAATCTATATTCTTGATTAAGTGTTGTGCTTCTTTAGTTCGGATCATGAGTGTGGTGACGGTTTTTTGACTCACCAGCTTTGCATCGTTGAGTGCAACTTCCAGTTTCTGGAATATCTGTGGCAATTAATGCAACATTTGTACAAAATTTCATCAAACTGATCATGTGGATTTTGCAGACAAAAGAAAGAGAAAAACATTAATTACCATGCTAGATTCATTAAGCACTGCTTCCAACGATCTGAGCTTCATAGATGAAAGCTTGTTTTCATCCTCTCTATTCTCTGTCGGGTTGGTAATATCATTGACATCTTCGATTACAATATCATCCTGTATTTTGATCGTTAACTTATTTAAGATTCATGCCGTAAAATTTGATCTAACTTCATTGTCTTGATTAGGTTTAATTTAGGGAGTTTACCATATCAGATTCTGAAACTTTGTTATTAGAGGCACCACTTTCATCTCCTGAATCAGTCATTTCCTGAAGCCGTATTGTTGATTAAGTCATCATATTTGAACAGAAAGAATTGCCAATATATGTTTTAGAAATATATGTATATAACCTGGAGCATGTCCATAATTTCTGGGTTATTCCAGGGTCCTTTGTCGCTTAGAAGGCAACCACCATAATCCAAACACTCGCAGTTACCTCCAAAGAAACTAGGCAAATTACTGTTGGATGATCAGTACTGTTTGATCAAAACTAGCACATGAAATTACTAATCAATGAAAACAAGCATTACATCACCTTGGATCAATAGCTTCTATAAAGTCATTCTTGTAATTAGTTCCAAGCACCTGAAATTTGAATCTTTGAAGCATTAGAAGATCATATATACACGAAAAAGCTCAATGCTGAATAGGTATAGCAGGTGATGAACTAACTCGAATCTTTGCCAATGTGCGTGGTTCGAGAAAAGCCTTGAGAGTATTCCATAGAACTCGAAATCCAGGTCCAGCATTAATTATATAAAGGCAGTGCAATGTCTGCAAATTATATACATTTTCTGACTATCATTGAGCGTATCATATCATAGCTAACTCTTCTTGTCCTAAACAAAAAATTAAAAGCACTACAAACATGCCTCAGGGTAATAGTTGCTATCGATCTTCTGAATTTCCATAAATAGATATCTTGCAGGTTTGGAGAAGTTGGAAACTCCCTGACGATGATCAAAAGATACCATTTCGTTTTTATGTCAATATATATATATATATATATATATATATATATATATACACTAGAAAACTTACTCACCACATTCTTCACATCTAAGATACTTGTGGTAGAAGCAATATGTTTCTCTGCAGATATTGAACAAGCTGGGAATCTGGATTTTAATGTTTTCTCTTGTTCAGATACATGATATTTCACAAATCTGTCAATTGAAGTTGTCTGCAGAAAGACGTTAAGATCTACCATTCCAATTCTCTCTATGTAGAGTGGCCTACCATGTCTATCAACTCCATGAAATCCATGGGGATAGCATCTTTTCACATCTTTATACTCTTCATATTTAAATTCCTGCAGGATATGTATGATACGTGGATCAAATTAATCAGTCCGATTATGATATCATCGACCTATGTATATCGTCTAAGCATTACAGTCTTCCTCAAGATAATCTAGAAATTCTGGTGGAATCTTTTTGTTGGCGAAAGTAGTAGCTAGAACATATTATAACCTTTGTAATGGAGTCAACATGAAAGTCTTCTCGCCATTTTAGATATTCCAAGAATGAATATTTGGCTTTTATGAGATCGAAATTCATCCTACGTAGAAATCTGCCATTGTTGAATAAATTAAATGGGAGGTTAATTAAGATATATGTTGAAAATGAAATGTAATGCATGCAACACTGATTATATATAGGTACCTGATAAGAGTGTGATAATCATTGTGTTCCTGTGGCAACAAACCATCGAGGAAAAGCATTTGGCGGAAAGATGCAATGATTTCTTCATCTCTGGGATCATGATCTCCTTCCAAAACCATTTTGAACTTCTGATCTGCAGATCTCTTGTGAACTTTTAGCGGGTACTTTAACATGATATCATTCAACCTCAGAATGGACTCTTTCTCGTTCTCTTCCTGTTGAGGTGATGGTGAACTGCTACTGACCATGGATGAACTCGTCCATTCGGTAAACCAATCTTCCTTGATGCTCGTCGGTTTATGGCTGTTTCTCTTTGCTTTCATCCTTTTGGCTACAAATATATAGGTGTGTTAATTAAGAGGATCATTTGAATTAGAGAGAGAGCATTTATCATGTCATGATGCAAGCAAAGATAAATCTTGACTGTAGTGTTGAAACTTTACCTAAGACAAACTATTTGTGTTCATGAATGAAGAGCAAAGAATGGATGGATGGATGGGCAAGAGATATTAAGAGGAGCATCTGGTTCCATTCTTTGGCAAAACCTGTTTTACCAATCAAACTTAACCTTTTTTAGGAGTTGTTTAGAGTAGCAAGAAACCTTATGCAAAAAGAAGAGTCAAACTTAACCTCTAAGGGGCCGTTTACCAAACACTTGTCCGGTAAGTGCTTACCGGTAAAATGTAACACTATTACTTACTTATCGGGTAAGATTTTAGTCCACAAAAATTACATGATATGCAACAATTTACCCGGTAAGCGCTTACTTTGATAAGAGTTGTTTTCCTCACTTATCGGGTAAGACTATTGGTTCTTGGCTCACTCTTACCGGGTAAGATTCTTGGTTACCATATTCATCCGGTGAGGTAATGTTACTTGGTAAGCGCTTACCCAGGTAAGAGTTTGATAAACGGCCCCTAGAGGGTGTTGGGATTACTTATTTCCATTATTTATTGACTTATTTCGCTGTGGTGGCAGTAATAAGCAGTTTTTAGTATTTGGATTGAGGAGGAAAAAAAACATTTATATCAGTGTCAAATCGATAATAAGGAGTTTTTGATAAGTTATTCATTTATAACTTTTCATATTCAACTTATTAGGTTTGGAAACCAATTCACCTTTTTGCGCTTAAACTAGTTCCTCCTCCTTCACAAACACAGTTCACAACCTTCACCAACAGAAATTGAAACCAACCTATAGAAATCAAAATCAACCTACAGAAATCGAAATTAATCTATTGAAACCGAAATCATATGATGCCAGGAACCAAATCACACATCGGTGGGTAAATCACCATGTTAAAAGAGCAATTGGTTAAGGGTTTCTCTGTAATGAAGGTATATCACATAATCCAGGTGAACTTGATGCTTTCCTTTATTTTTTCATCCGGAGGTTTTCCATTTGGGTTGAGTTAGCCTACTCACGGAAATGCTCTCATGAATCTGCAATATAGAGATGAATAGTGGAGATGAGAGGAAAGAGATGAATTTGATGGTTTTCCGGTTGTTTTTTTAATTGATTGGGAATACATGACTTATATAAAAATGTTTTTTTTTTGTCATTTTATATGTATAACCAAATTTGTCAAGCACTAAAAGCAACTTATCAGCTTCTTACGTTTTGGTACATTCATAAGCTAATTCAAGCACTTTTTATAAAATTCTGGTTTGACACCACATAAGTTGACAAGTACTTTTATAAAAAAAAACATAAATTGTTTTAAATAAGCAATCCCAAACACGCCCTAAATTGTTGTTCAAATGTTGTGCTGAATAAATAGTCTGAGATAGAAATGATTAGTTTACCCCTCAATTTAGATTTAACATCGACTAAAATAAATGTACAATGAATTGAATAGTATGTGTGTTCTCGAAGGTATAGTAGGCGTTTTAAGGCAATCGACAATGGGGAAAGGAAAGCAGACGGTGTAGAGGTGACAAGGAATTGAAGGGGGCCATCGATTAGGTTTTTTTTTATAAATATTCTACAACTAGCAATTCATTTATTTTCAAATCGACCCATTTACTATCTATTATTTGATTGACTAATCCTTTATATTGGAATGGTTGAAGAGTCAAATGGTTTGGCAATTCCTCTAAATCGAGAGAATTTTGAATATATCAAGTTGGGTATCTTATTTATATTGCCTATAAATAAATGGAATTTGTTGGGGAAAAAAAGGCTTTATTTTTATACACATATAAAATTATAACAAAACGAAATTAATTATATATAAAAAAAAAATCAAATTATCAATCACACTGATAAATAATATCAAGTTATCTATAATATATTGTAAAGTATTTGATAAAAACTCTTAAAAATATTTTTTTATTCATAAAGTAATGTTTATTGATGCATATTACTTAAAATTCAATTTTACAAGTGAAATGTGAATGCGTATATCTTATTAAAGCTTCATGTTTGAATTTATGTAACTAATTGTAGATAAATATAATCAAATACATGATAAACATCACTTTAAATATAAAAAATCTAAAATATAATTAAGATAATCATTGAGTTATAACAAAATACTTAATAATCATCTTTAAAAAATTATTATATTAAACCAAAAATAAATTAGTTCGTTTTTAAACTTCAATTAAATTATAATAAAAATTGAATTAAAAAAATTATACAAAAATGAGAACTTTTAAATAATTAATCTGATATTAATATCAATTTCTTTTCGAATTTTTATAATGTTATTAAATTTATATTTCATTCAAAAATAAAAATATGTTTTTCCTCAAAACTACATAAAATTTGCATTATAATATCGATACAGCCAAAATTATAAAATGAAACATTAAAATCATGATAGATCTCGTTGCATTCTGCGAGAACCCTTCTTGTACATATTTTTTTTTATTAACTGGATATCCAACCAACTATGCGAGCCGACTAATTTCAGGGCGCCCACCTGCTTTGCAAATAGCCCGGAGTCACCGCATTTGAACCTCCGCGGCCACAAGGGGTTTTTATTCCCCCTTGGATTTGAACCAGAGACCTCCAGGTACTTTTGACCTATGGAGTCAAGTTCAAATCAATCAGACATCACCTTTGTGGTTACTATTACATATTTATCGTTGCCATATAAACATGATAATTAGTTAATATTGTAAATCAGTTAATCATATAATTAAATCATTAAAAAGTTATATAATTCCAACATATTTTTATCTTAAAGTTTCATTATTAATTTTATTATTAAAATGTTAATAAAAAAATCTAAATATTTAACTTCTCAGAATTTTATAGACAGAATCTAATTTTCAGTAATCATCATCTTGATTGCATTCGTATGAGATCCTTAACAAGGGTAATTTCATCATATCATTTGTTATTTTGATTCAACATTTTATATAAAAATCTGATTTGAACACAAAATAAATTGAATCGCTGTAATCTCGTCTTTATCTATCCGACAATTAATATCTCCTTTTATTTCACCACATATCTATACTATATTATAAAGCATTTAACAAAAACTCTTAAAAACCATTTTTTATGTATGAAGTACTGTATATTGATGCATATTACTTCGAATTCAAGTTTATAACTAATTATGCATATTACTTATTAAAGCTCCATGATTTAATTCGTGTAATTAACTGCGGATAAATATAATCAAATAGAGGATAAACATCTAATTTTAAATATAAAAAATCTAAAATATAATTAGGATAATTATCGAGTTCTAACAAAATAATTAATTATTATCTTTATAAGAAAACTATATTATTAAACCAAATATAAATTGTTTCGTTATTGAACCTAAATTAAATTATAATAAAAAAATTGAATTAAAAAATTACACAAAAAATGATGAATTTTAAATAGTTAATTTGATACTAATATCGATATATTTTTGTCATTTTTTTATGATTTATTCAAATTTACATTTTATTCAAAAATAAAAACATAATCGTTTTTTTCAAAATCACATAAGACCACATCATAACATCGACTGAAATAAAGAATAAAATGAAATATTAAAATATATCTCGTTGCATTGTGCGAGTACCCCTCTAGTTTGAATAATACATAAATGATTTATTAGTAAACTATAATTTTAATTCAACACAACGCTTAATTTGTTATTATCATGTATCAAGTAAACCAACGTATTTTTCAAATTATAACAAAATAAATCTTTTATCTCATTAATTTGGTACTTCATTTATATAAAAAGTGTGTTTACTAGTTGTATCATGAACATACATTGTCTACAGAAGTCGAATTACAAATTTTACACCGACTCCCCTCCCCACACACAAAAAAAAAAAAACTCGTCACCAAAACCATCAATGGTTACACCCATGGTTTTCGTTTAACAACTAAGGGGCCGTTTACCAAATACTTACCTGGATAAGCGTTTATCAAGTCACGTTACCTTATCAGATGAATACGGTAAGGATCAAGAATCTTACCCGGTAAGAGTGAAACAAGAACCGAGAGTTTTACCCGGTAAGTGAAGGCGATGACTCTTACCATGGTAAGTGCTTACCAGGTAAATTGTTGCATACGATGACTTTTTGGTGGACTAAAGTCTTACCCGCTAAGTAAGTAGTAGTGTTAAATTATACCGATAAGCGCTTACCAGATAAGTATTTGGTAAACGACCCCTTAGACATAAGTAGTAGTAGTAGTAGTAATAGTAGTAGTAGTAGTAGTAGTAGTAGTAGTAGTAGTGTTTGGTGGACTAAAGTCTTACCCGCTAAGTAAGTAGTAGTGTTAAATTTTACCGATAAACACTTACCAGATAAGTGTTTGGTAAACGACCCCGAAGTTAATCCATGGACTCATACTTTCAAAATCATACATCTTTCGTCCCTCACTCAGACTATCCGTTACAAATTAGCTCAATTTTAGAATGTTACACATTATGACTCAGGAGTAGCAACCAGAAGTAAAAGGGTCATGCAAACTTAGACCAATTTGCGTCTCAAAGAAACGAGCATCGTTCTTCGATTTGTAATAAAATTGAACTAGGATCTACAACCTAAAACTTTTTTTACGTCTTTTATCTCGAATATAATTTTCGCTTCCATGTCTCATCTCCTTCTATGAGTCATTAGTGTACGTAGACCATTGACCATTGTGGGTCTGATGACCAACAAGTAGCACAAATCTTTATATTAGTTTAACAAGTGGATCAAAAGAATGGTTTGTCATTTAAGTTACAAAACAAATGTTGACTTGGAAGAAAGACCTTCACATGTGAACATCGTTCCCATTTGGAAACAAAACTTACAATCAATCAACTGTGGCAACTATACCCCTTGTACACCACTACACCATTTATATAATCTATAAGTTCAATACATGTATATATAAATATATATATATAAGGTATATTTTAAATATAACCATGCCCATTTGTACAATCAATGCAACCCAATTAATTAAAATATTTATGGAAATGATGAGAGTTAATTTATTATGATTTAAATATTTATGGAAGATGAATATGGTTCATTAATTATGATCAATACTTTATATTAGGAAACAATCAAAACTTCTATAAAATCACATATTAATCAAATGAAATGGACGGTTGAGATTGGGTTGTATTGGTTGTACAAATGTAAAGGGTTGTATAATAACCAACCTCTCTCTCTCTCTCTCTCTCTCTATATATATATATATATATATATATATACTAGAAGGATACTCGTGCAATGTATCGAGACACGTCTTGATTTCAGTTGCATCAATTTTAAGTTGTACGTCATAATTTATTTGTAATCTTAAATTTTAATTTTAGAGAAATACATGAAACTGTTTCATTAAAATTTCATTAAATAGTATATGAAACAATTTCATAACCACATATGAAACAACTTCATCAAAAAAAGTATTATATGAAATAATTTCACAAGATTAACAATTTCATGAAAAAATTTCATAAGATTAATGATGGATGAGAGTAGTTTTTACGGTTTTTACAAATTGAAGTGGTTTTCATTTGATCACTCATCTCTCTCTCTCTCTCTCTATCTATATATATATGGGCTGGTTCAAATACTAACCAAAATTATTGTATTAACTTTGTTAACCGATCTTGGTCGTTGATTTGAACATCTAACAGTTGTCATTTATTGAGACGAAAAATTTAATTATTTAATTATCATATTAATAAAAAATTAGGTTCACATGGTTCAGAGGGTAGAATTGTAAAAAGTGAATAATCTTAACGTATCCTATTTTGTTAGCCTATTCTGTAACTTTCAATCAATAAAGAAACCGTCAATCTCATCGATCAATATCTTAAATCAGTAGCTAAAAATTAGGTTCATAATCTTCATAAAAAACAATGGGGAATTTGGAAGGATTACCAGGCGACGGCATCCAGATAAGATTGAAACATGTGTGTGAACCTAATGAACAATGTGTAAACCTAATGAACAATTGAAAAATTAGGTTCATAATTTTCATCAAAACAATGTGTGAACGTAATGAACAATTGAAACATGTGTGTGAACCAAATAGACATATTGTGTGAACCAATTGAACACATATGTGCACGAGTGAACACATATGTCGACGTTTGAGTGAACATGTGCGTGAACGGTTTAATCATTTTCTTCACTTTCGCAATTCGAATTCCGAATGTATTCGTAGACGCTTTTAGTTTTTTCATTCTCATTGTCGTCGATCTGTTTTACTCTATGATTATCCATATTACTCGGACTATAACGGAATCTTTACAAAAGAGACTTTTTTGAAATTTACATTATCAAAACCATTGTAGGAAGAACGAAATGTAAAAATCAGTAAGATGAACAAATGTGAAACTTAATGCCATTATTACATGAAGATCAATTAGTGATATTTTAAGATTTGTAACTCCCAATTAAAATATTGGGGAGTTACATAAAAATGACAAATTACCTAAATACCCTTACACTTAATATGTGAGTTACATTTGAACCAACCTATATATATATATATATAGATTTGGGATCATGTGAGACCAATGGTTTTTCGTGAGACCCGTAAGACCAATTTTTAACCCTTGGATTAGATCTATAATATGATAATCTAAACATTCATAAACGCCACGAGATTTCTCAATAATTACAAAATTGCCACTGTGCAATTTAGACCGTTAGATCGTTAGCTTATAAAGTTGATCAATGAACATAAATTGGTCTCACGTGAACCCAACCCTATATATATATATATATATATATATATATATATATATAATGCGAATATTCTGATTTTAGTTCTGTTTTGGAACTTAAATTTAATTGAAACGAGTTTCTTTGTGTGTTTCCTTCTTGTGTCGTGTTCGTTAAAATCTAGTGGTGGCGCTCTACGCTCTATTTTTAGTAATTTGTAGACTTTTCAATTGGTCGTCTATCAACTATGTTATATATACATTAAAACGATGATGAAATCCGTGATTTTATAATAATGAAATGATAAGTATGATAATGAAGTCATTAATTAACTTTTACATGAGGGATGTTGATTAAACTAAACAAACTCACTCAATATATCTATATCTATATGTTTAGATCCTTATCAAATCGCCTCACCTTTCTCATCAATTTTAATAGGATATAAATGTGTTAAATACCGTTAATGACATACTTTTGTTTAAATGAATGTTAATTATATAATTGAGATGTAAATTTCGAAATGATGATGAATAAATTTGTGAAATTATATAAATTTATCTATAAGTTCAAAACTATAATTTTCTAATGGGTAAAGTAGACAATTTAAACAAATTCAAAGATTTATCAGTCTTATTGATTCAAATTTCAGATTTCAACACCATCTCTTATTAATCATAAGTGAAATAAGACTTTAGACTTCAGCACCTCGTAAAAAACAAATATCACCTAATTAACTTTGACACGAAGGATGTTGATATTTAAAATAAACAAACGTACGGAGTACATAGCATCCGATCGGAGAAATTCGGTAAGAGATGTTGATATATATATATATATATATATATATGTATATATGTATACTATAATATTTCGTATTTATTAGTTTATTTTACTAGCAGCCTCTATATTTAATCCTTTCTATAGTTTTCTTTACCAGTATATAAAGTGTCAGTTGCTGATGAAGTTACTTAACCAAACTCCCATTCCCATCCCATGGCTATTCAACTTCTGCTCTTATGGCTCCTTGCTGCAAGCTTAGATCTCACAGGTTCATCTCTTTCACCTTAAATCTTAATTACTTACCTCAATTACAACTAATTCAATTATGCATTGTAAAACAATTCACGTTAATCTGTGCAGAATCTCAATCGGTCGGAGTATGTTACGGAAGGCTCGGAAACAATCTTCCGACCCCACCACAAGTCATAAGTTTATACAGATCCCGAAACATCCGACGGATGAGGGTCTATGATCCTGATCAAGGTGTTTTTCAAGCACTAAGCGGATCAAACATCGAAGTCATGTTGGGAGTCCCCAATACAGAACTCCAATATGTTGCCTCCAGCCGTGAAAATGCACGTGAATGGGTGAAGAGAAATGTGAGGGATCACTCACCAGGCGTTAGATTCCGTTACATAGCCGTTGGGAACGAGGTTAAGGCATCGGATACAACTTTGGCTCCTTTGGTGCACCCTGCGATGACTAATGTGCATGAAGCCGTTGCGTTTCATGGACTCAAAGATCAAATCAAAGTTTCGACTTCGGTTGACACAACTTTGATCGGGGTGAGTTATCCTCCGTCTCAAGGCGCCTTTCGGGGCGACGTGCGGGGTTACATCGACCCCATCATTGGTTTCCTGGTCAGCATCAACTCGCCTTTGCTTGTTAACATCTATACATATTTCAGGTACACTTGTTATCGTCTATTTATTCGTATACTTGGATTTTTATAACCATAATATGTATTGATTTGACACATGCAATCTATATATATATATAGAGAGAGAGAGAGGGGGGTTGGGGAATCAAACGAGAACGATACTTGTATAAAAGAACATGAAAATGGACGAATCACATGTGATTTTACACTAACATCACATACAAAATCACATCTGATTCAGGCGACCTGAAGATGCAACCACAAGTTGCCCGGACACTTTTTTTTACCAGTAATGTAAAATCACGTATGATTTTGTACGTGATTTGTTCGTTTTCGTGTTCTATTGAATAAGTATCATTCTCGTTTGATCCTGCCTGTATATATTACGTTTAAAACCCTTGTGCAAGTTGATTTGACATTTGAGTCACCCTTGTTTTTGTTCTTCAGTTATGTCGGAAATCCGCGTGAGATATCGCTCCCGTACGCTTTATTTACATCTCCCGGTATTGTGGTGCAAGATGGAGCCAATGGGTACCAGAATCTTTTTGATGCTATGTTAGATGGGGTGTACTCTGCATTAGAGAAGGCCGGAGGAGCTTCACTAGAAATTGTGGTATCGGAATCTGGATGGCCCTCAGATGGAGAATCTGCAGCCACGTTCGATAATGCACGCACATATTACACAAATTTGGTCGCTCATGTGGCACAAGGCACACCAAAGAGGCGTGGGGCAATAGAGACATATTTGTTTGCCATGTTTGACGAACACAACAAACAACCTGAATACGAGAAAAATTTTGGAATATTTTATCCAGATCAACGACCAAAATATCAACTTAGTTTTTAATGTATGGTTTGTCACTTCTCAAATGTCAGAAATAAAAGCTTAATAAAACCGTATTTTGTAAGTTGAAGCTGACCGTTGGTCTATTCTCTTGTAATATTGGTTAATAAAAATATCAAGTTCTTGTTAGAGCGAGTCCCTACATATATATATATATATATATATATATATATATATATATATATATATATATATCTAATCTTACAATTCTCAATTTCTTTACTTTCTCCAACAAATTCTCTATATTATTCTCTAAGTTTCGAGAATTTTTTTTAAAATTTAATGTAAAGTGGCATTCCCACCAATAAGATTGAACTAGTAGAGTTAAATACAAATTTGGGCTAAATTAAGGAAGTACCTGAAAGGAATTATTAACGATGGATGTCTCTACAGTTTCATTTTTATAACGGATATGGTCCATTCTCTAACTCTTTTGTTAAGTTTCTGTTAGTGGGGGGTTGTTTTGCCTATTCACGCTCCTCTCCCTTAACTTCAATTTTCAATAACAGATTTAATCCCTTAAACTGCCTTTCATTTTATCTGTTGATGTTGATGTTGATTTGGTTTTCGAAATAGTCTATCTTCATGATAATTGATTGATTTTCTCTAATTGGGTAAGACCGAAAACTAAAATCGGAGATAATGACCGGTGGGTCGTTGGAGAAGACGGTTGGTTAGGGAAGAGGTCTACCAACAAACATGGCAAGACCCGATTGGGTGTTGGAAAAAATAATATATAATTTTAATTAAAAAAGAGAAAAATGACTAAAATAACCTTCTCGCGAACCTAGTTAACAAAATGTTTTTACAGTGTTAGAGCAAGGAACAAAAGGCGTGTGAAAATGTAAACGACATGAACGTTTTAAATAATTATTTCAATGTAAGGACATATAATGCGATTTTGTGTAAACTGCAGGGACCAATCATGTAATTTACTCTAAAAAAAATTAAATGTATTGGAATGAGAATATTATAAAAAAATAACATAATTAATGTTGAAATCTGTAAAATAAAGAATATTAAATATAGTTTCAAAAAAAATTAACTATTACTTCTATATTTTAATAAAATTATATATATATATATATATAATATATATATATATATAATATATATATATATATAATATATATATATATAATATATATATATAGGGAGAGAGAGAGAGAGAGAATGAGAGAAAATGAGTGTTAAATGAGAACAATAACTAAATAAGATAAAACAAAAACGGCTAAATCATGTATAAAATTACATTTGGTTTTACTTTAGCATTTAACAAAAGGGTGTGCAGACAACATGTCTTGCAACCTTAAGTCATGGCCAAAGTCGCGTGAATCACATATGATTTTGTACGAGATTTTAATGTATAATCACATGTATTTCGACCCTTTTTTTATTCTCCTAATTAGTTATTGTTCATGTATGAACCTAACCCTCTATGTATGTGTGTATATATATATATATATATAGACACTAGAATGCAAATCAAATGCAACATTTTTAAATATTGCAATCAATATAACCCAATAAAATTTGATCATAACCACAAATCATCCCTTTTTAAGGAGTATTTTCGTTTTTAATTTTTTTTAAAAATACAACTGTCATATCTTTAACCGTATTATCCCGATCGTTGATTATTTAATTGTGTCATCGTAAATGAATATCTAAAAGGGTTAACCTTTGATGAATCCTTAGACACAATTTGTATTTGGTATATATATATATGAAGAAGTGTTTGGGGAAGTGGGCTGCTTCCTTCCTCTTTTGGGCTTTTTAGCCCATCCCAACCCAAAGTTAAGCCTTTTTCAATTACTATTATTTATTTGTATTTGTATTTGTGTTCCAAGCTAGTTTTGCTTATTGACGTAACTTATTCGCTTACACAAAGTGGCAACCAATGTACGATATATTTACATCCTCCATGATTATAAATGCCCCCACACGTGCGGTCAAACCCTCAGCTCAACCTCTCCCATAAAGATGCACAGTTCCTCCGAGCGAACCCCATCCGTTTCTTTAACAAATCGTAAACCACTTCCAACCCTTGTTGCTGGTAATTCCCCAACAACCCGGCTGGCCCACCCGACTCCGGAAAGTAACCACCGTTCATCACCATCATACACCCCGCCTTTCTTTTCACCTTCCCATCATCACCACCGTCCATAAACTCGTAAAAGTAATTCTTCCTAGGCATCACCACACTTGAATTCCCCCCAAAATGCAGCACCATTTGCGGTACTAACCTTTTCGCACCCTCATCCACGTAGTAACATGGGCTCAACCCGGTCCGATCTTCCACCGCTTTAGCCCGTTTATGACCCGACTTCATCCTTTTCGCAAACTCGGATACAACCGAGTTATAAAATTCTTCTGGTAACATGGAGTAAGTCGTGCCGGAGTCAACCACCATACCACCGTTTCCTTTTCTATCAATCGTCTTCATATTTTCCGGCGCCGGTAATCGGTGGTTGCCAACCGTGATAGCTTCTAACCCGACGTAGTAATAGTAAGGGTGTTTTGAGTTTTCAAGCATCGGAGTGTAGGCGAAGTCGTCGGGTTGTGAGGTAGGGACACGCTTCGCTTTATTTTCACTACCAACCGAGTCAACCCGGCCTAGAATGAGTGGGCTCGGTTGTCGGAGTCTCTCCGTCTCAAAAGAGTGGGAAACCAAACAGTAGGAGAATTGAGTGCCAAGATGAGGGGAGAAAACAGCGAGCTGCGCCGGTAAAGAGAGCGCTCCACGGCCAAACCCCGCGACGCCGATCGGCTCGCCGAGGGATTCATGAGCGCAGCCAAACGTGAAGTTCTTTATTACCAAAGACGGCGGCGACGACATCGGAATTTCGAGATTATCCTTGTATAGGCGAGCAACGAAGCTGCCGTCACCGTAAGCATAATAAAAGGAAGGGCAAGAGTAGTTATGACATTCAGACATCTCAATGGACTCCAAAGGACAGCGTGCCATGGCGCAGAGGTCGGAGGTGGGGAGGGTGGAGTGAACGGCAGAGCAAGCCCGTGACTGGCACGTGACGGGGGCGGCGGAGGCAGATAAGTTCTGGGGCGGCGGTGTGGTTTTAGGGTCCGATTCTCCTTCACACATAATACAAGTAAAGGGTTTACAGGGGAGCCAAACAGTATCGCTGCCGGTGTCCATATAAAGAGTGACCGTCCTTTTAGGAGCAGAGCCGAGTGAAAAGGAGATGGTATAATCGCCCCCCTGGGCGGTGATGGAGCGGGAGGTGGTGGACTTGAGAAGATGGTGGGTGTTGTTGAGTAATTCAGAATTTGAAAGCGAGTGGGTGAGTGGAAAGAGAAGCAACTTAGAGGAGGATGTTGCAGAGATGAGGAGAAAGAAAGCATAGATAAAGATGGAGGAAGCCATAGCCATTAGCAGAGCAGCAGAGGATTTGGCGTTGTGTTTGGATTGGAGGAAGAGGAAGAGGAAGAGGGATTTTGAAGGAAGAAAGTTGTGGAAGCTGGCATGGATTTAAATTCATAGGGGGGAGGTCCATATGGGTACTGGTTTTCAATGCTTAAAAAGAAAAATAGTAATTTAAGAGGGTGTTTAGGATTGCTTGTAAAGATAATTTATTGATTTATTTTGATGTGTCAACGGTAATAAGCATTTTTAAATATTTGGATAACAACTTATACCGGTGTCAAACCGATAATAAAGAGTTTTTGAAGAAGTTAAACTCTTCTAACTTATAATTAAATTAATAAATATTTTTATAAAAAAAAATAAGTTGTTTCAAACAAGCAAATCTCAAACACCCTTGAGTAGTTTATATTACTTGTTCTAAAAAAACGTCTTTTTTTACTAAAGATGAGTGGATTTGGATGAGAATGAGACAAGTTAGAGTCAAAGTCAACCTACCTAAATAAAGTCTCGTTAATCTTAAGCATTCCGTAGTTTAAACTAATTTAATGACTATGTATGTATCTTAAAGTAGATCATTGATTTTTTATTTACATATTTAATAAATAAAAATTATTAATTACATAATATGAATCTAGTAAGGTTTCTTTCATGTGAATTTACTGCAAATTATACCTTATTTTTATCAAGTATTGAGCATCATTTATTTAAATTATGTTTGGTGGTTAATAACTATATATAAACAGCTTAATTAGTTTGGGTTAGGTCTTTGGGGTTCTTAATCATCAATTGTTTGTTAGAGTCTAAAGTCATAAAAGAATTCTTGGCTTGTAAAAATAAAATAATCAAGATACAGATAAACTAATTTATATAATAACAAGAATAATAAATAATAACCAAAAAGTATTTGATCTAATAATATGTGAGTTTAGAAAATTAAAGGTTCAATCTTCAAATAAAAAGGATATACAAATTTATTTATTTTATTTATCGTATATAAATATTATATAGTTTAAAAATAATTACAAATAATACTTTATAAATAAAAAAGAAGAAGAATAAATTAGTGGAAGGTGGGTAGGGAATCATGCGGCCGCACATAACAAAACTCCTGCTCCGCCTCACAATTTCCTGCCTGCTACACACGTCTAGGGGACAAATATCCTTCATTCTTCGTTAATTAATTAATAGTTACTCATTTGCATTTATATTTATATTTTCTTTAATTTTTGTTATAATTAAGTAACTGAAATCTATAAACAGATCGCCTCATAATTAATTCCCTCAATAATGCAATTAAGATTCTTCACGTCTATTTTCGTTTTTATCTAGAATTCCAAGAATGCCTTCAAGATTAACCGATTATGAGATGGTGAGAATCATAAGCTAAAATATAAACAAAAAATTTAGACCGTTGTCGAGCATCAAGAAACATGAGAACATTTGTTAGCATTAATGCAACGTTTAGAGGATCGTATGAGTATGTTCTCTTCAAAAGAATCAAAGGCTTGTGTTGATATATCAACCGATTAGTCTCCGTCGTTTGACCAAGATGAAGGGTTGTCGAAGTGGGTTTTGAATATCGAGAAGATTTGTAATTGTTTGACCAACTAGTGAGCTTTAAAAAAATGTTAGGATGGTGTACATGGTTAAAGGGCATGACGATTTTGTTTAAATACAAGACAAGTCTTGAATTTGATTCCAATAAATCCAAAAATGTCTCATTACATTGGTGTTCTTAAATGTAAGTTTTATAAAAAGTTGATTAGAATTAATGATAATCAGTTTTTTTATTAAAAAAAATGTATATATTTTTGTATTTTAAGATTTTGAGAAGAGAAAGTCAACCATGTGATAGTAAATGTTTTTGTGTGTATAGTAATGGTGAAATGTCAATGTCAATGTCAACGTGAATTGATTTAGGTGATTAGTCCTTGACCGGACCCCACCGGGAGATGCATGGAGGTTGCTTGAATTCGGACGTATTTAAGCTTCCATTTATGAAACCTCATAGCTTTTATTTCGTTGCATTTATGCCTCACATAAATTACTTCCATTTATTATTAATTAATTAATAATAATTCCATATAAAAATAATGTATCTAGTTTTTTTTTTTTTAATTATAATCATAGATGAATTTAGAGGTTATTTGTTTACCTCTTAATAGTTTTATTAATCGACAATCTCTGAATCGTTAAGAGATGAATCTTGTTTGACAAAAAAAAAAGTCTGTCTCTTAATGATTTTGAAACCTTCTGAATGGTTTTGTATCATGTATCTCCTTAACCATTAAGAGCCCTAATTTTATTGTACACAATTATCAAACAATTATATTTCACTTTGCACTATATCATGAGAGCCTCTTAATCATTCTGCACCAAACCATTCAGCAATTACCAAACAGCCCTTTAATGTTTAACATAATATGTTATTTTAGATTTAGTTAATTTATGTAAAACAGTATTAAAAACTCATATAGACAACAAAAAAATGTATTTTTTTAAACATTTCTTCAAGTACCTGGTAAAATGTTTTAAAATGGCGGAGTATCGATTTCGATCCTCCAGCATCAATCTTAGATTTGCTTCTTTATGATTGTGGGAGACAGATTTTGGCACCGTTGAAGGAGTTTGGCAAGTTGTTATTTGGATTAGGGCTTATTTTCTCTGGAATTACATGAATGCTCAGATAAAGAGAAAACTACATAAAAATGAAACAAACTTTACATTTATTCATAATGTGAGAAAATAACTTTCAATACTTTTTTTTGAAGTATATAATATTTATATACGGTAAATGCAACAGACAAACACGCACATCTTCCTCAGCTTTGGTGAGTTTGAACCCTCTGACCTCCTACGAGGCGAAGGCCTAAAATACCGCCTACCCAAAGGCCCTTTGGTACTTTCAAGACTTCTCATTTAAGAGACTCCATGACCAAATTTTATATTCCCCAACATAAGATCAAAAGCAAAACTAGTTTCATTAAAATATCACAATGAGAAATTTTGAAGTTGGTTAAGCAAAACAAGAATGACAACAAATTTTGGATGTCGAACCAGGTCTTCCAAGCAGAATTGAGACTTGGGAGTTGCCTCTCTCAGGAATAGTTGAAGAATGGAAATTGCTATGGTTTGGTCATGTTTGCAGGATACAAATGACGACTTTGGTGAGTAGATAGGACAGTGAGAAGGTCGAGAGACTGGAAAAAAGGTAGTCCGATAATGATCATAGGTTAATCAACTAAGGTTGGATACGGTGGGTCATGAATTTTCATGACATTTGTATTTGATAAGAGTGTTAAGAGATGCAATACTAGAGTGGTGTATTATGGTTGTAGCTAGCTTAGACGAGAAGAAAGGAGTTCGCTAAGTAATGGATGAGGAGTATGGTTAAAGTCAGGGAGCTTGTATATTAGTGCCTTGAAACAGACCGGGAGTTGTGTAGTTCCTAGTTTACTTTTGGGCAAGCTTTCGTTTTGTCAAAAAAAAAAATTCATAAATCATAGGTCTTTTTGAAAACCATCACTATACTATATAGGGTAGCTAATGTGTCTGCTTATGCCCCATCTTGGATGAGATATACTAAAATTGTTTAATTTGGTTTTGTGAACTTTTAGGGGCATGTTTGGTTTGCAGGATCTCATATGATATGGAATTATATTTCAATTCAATCATGGATTTGGATTAAAAGAATGTCGAGAATTGATATCTCACGAACATGGGATTTCAAAATCCCATAGGAATCATTGGTATTTCACTTAGTTTCATAATATTTGTCAGTACTAACGTTTTAAAATATGATAAAAACATTATTTTTGTAATAATTAATAAAAAGATAATTTAATTATTTATTATTGTTTTTATAAATTATCTATAAAAATGAAATTCCATTTTATTTCAAATTCTACAAACGAGGTACAACTAAAATTCTAGATTTTTCCATGAAATACAAATCCCTCTGAAATATTTTGTCAAACTAAATACTTCTTATTTTAATTTTTTTTGAAAAAAAAACCTTGATTTATTGAGTTAATTAACTTCACGATTACATCTTAAAAAGTGAAAAAAATGAGATAACTTCAAATTACAACAAAATCAAAAGAATAAATGCAAAATGTGTTCTCCAAGCCACTTCTTATACGCTTAGATTTGATGTAAAAGAAGTGCGACTTCTTTACTCTTCCAAAAAAACACATATATCGAGTATTTATTTTAATTCATCATTAGATTAATTTTCAGAGTCCTTTATTGCATATTTTGATGCTCATATCTTCAAAGGCATAGAAAAAATAAATTATATCATATTTTAATGATTTAGAAATAAATGTTAGATAAAGATTCTTTTATACTAAAATAAAAAAGGAAAATTAATTAAAATAGAAATTTTAACCGCATGGTTTTACCTCTTAGCCGTTTCTCTCTCAAAAGAACAAAAATAGCCATAGGTCCATAATCGACAGGTTTGCAGTTTACGGAAGCGTGAAAGGGTAAAAAAGAGATTCTGAACCACGACAGTTGCATGGACCAAAGATACCCCTAATCTAACGGACAATTTTAATAGAAGTAGTGACCATGGACGATTTTCAAAACAAAATGCAAATAATAGGGATGTTAGTTATAGTTATTGAAGTCTAAGGACTGCTTTCAGAGATTCGTGTAAACTACAGGGACCAAAATTGTAGTTTACTCAAAACTGAATGTTATGGGATTAGATGGAAGTTGCAAGTTCATGTTTAGCACGTGTCCTGTTGTGGTGAGCTCGTACAACGCAAATTGTACCTTTACGCCAAAATATTTAGGTGGGACCAAATCCCTATCTAAGTTGCTCCCGTGCGCCTGCACCACCAAATCATCACCCACACCTCCACATTTAATTTCCCGTTTGTATTTAATCTAACTTACATTGATTAATATTATTTAATTTTGTAGTTAAAAGATACATTTTGTATAATATCTATACTATATTATAAAGCATTTGACTCATTTTTTAAAAAACAAAT